TGTGGGCAAGACCTCTTATTGTGGTTTCTGTGGGGAGGAATCGAGGAGCGGGCTTACAGTTGTCTAGTTTGAACATTCTCAGTGAGCTCTGGGGTGTGGGGCTGTCCCTAGTTGTCTGGTACCTGCCCTGGGGAGATAGTGGCCCTGCCTGTGAAACCCCAATAGAGGAGGAGGTGGAATCGGATTGGTTAGTTTGCATATGAAAGGCATTCTAGAAGGCCAGTCATTTACTCTCTCTAGGAATTGGCCAGCCCCAGGGAGGGGCAGTCTCTCCAGGGCCAGTGAGGCTCCAGATGTCCAAGCATCAGAAATAGACAATAACACCCTTTCTCTCCCGAGCTGGTAACGACTTCTCTGCTTGAGCTCCCTGGCATTTCAGCTCGTGGGCATCAGCAATGCTTTCACAGATAAACTAATTTCCAACCTTAATGAAGGATGAAGAAAAGTAGAGGGATTTGGGGGGAAAGTGGGCAGGCGACCACTCTTTCTTTTAACCTCCAGATCAGTAAGTTTGAACCATAGGTTCTCATTGACCACACAGAGGGTCTGATTTGGTTTTATTTTTTTTAATTTTAATTTTTAAATATATTTTTATTGATTTCAGAGCGGAAGGGAGAGGGAGAGAGATAAAAACAGCAATGATGATACCTCAACATAATTAAAAGCCTTATATGACAAACCTACAGCCAACATCATTCTCAATGGGCAAAAACTAAAACCATTTCCCCTAAGAACAGGAACAAGACAGGAATGCCCACTTTTACCACTTCTGTTTGACATAGTACTAGAAGTGTTAGCCATAGCAATCAGACAAGAAGAAGAAATAAAAGGCATCCATATTGGAAAAGAAGACATGAAACTGTCATTATTCACAGATGACATGATATTGTACATAGAAAACCCTAAAGCCTCCATCAAAAAACTACTAGACTTAATAAATGAATTCAGCAATGTAGCAGGATACAAAGTTAACACCCAGAAATCTATGGCTTTTTTTATACACCAATAATGAACTCACAGAAAGAGAAACTAAAAAAAAAAAACAAAAACAAAAAACCAATCCCATTTACCATTGCAACAAAAAAAATTAGATACCTAGGAATAAACTTAACTAAGGAGGTAAAAGACATGTACTCAGAAAACTATAGGACACTGAAAAAAGAGATAGAGGAATTCATAAACAAATGGAAGAATATATTGTGTTCATGGATCAGTAGACCAACATCATTAACATGTCCATATACCCAAAGCAATCTATAGATTCAATGCAATCCCCATTAAAATACCAATGGCATATTTCAAAGACCTAGAACAAACTCTCCAAAAATTCATATGGAAAATAAAGACCCCGAACAGCTGCAGCAATCCTGAGAAAGAAGAACAAAGTTGGAGGGATCACAATATCAAATATCAAGCTATATTACAAAGCTGCTGTTCTCAAAACTGCCTGGTACTGGCACAAGAACAGACATATAGACCAATGAAACAAAACAGAGAACCCAGAAATTGACCCAAGACATTATGCTCAATTAATATTTGACAAAGGAGACAAGAGCATACAATGGAGTCAAGACAGTCTCTTCAGTAAATGGTGTTGGGAAAATTAGACTGATACATGCAAAAAAAGAAACTAGACCACTAACTTACACCGTACACAAAAATAAACTCAAAATGGATAAAGGACTTAAACGTAAAATGGGAAACCATAAAAATCTTAGAAGAATCCATAGGCAGCAAAATATCAGATATATGTTGTAGCAATATCTTTACTGATTCAGCTCCTAGGACAATGGAAACTAAGGAGAAAATAAACAAATGGGACTACATCAAAATGAAAAGCTGCTGCACAGCAAAAGAAACCATCAACAAAACAACAAGAAAGCCCACTGCATGGGAGAACATATTTGCCAATGTTATCTTCGATAAGGGTTTAATCTCCAAAATTTACAGTGAACTCATATAACTTAACAAAAGGAAGATAACCCAATCAGAAAATGGGCAAAGTACTTAAATGGACACTTTTCAAAAGAGGACATACAGAAGGCCAAGAAACATATGAAGACATGAAGTCACTAATCATCCAAAAGATGCAAATCAAAACGACAATGAGGTACCATCTCACACCTGTCAGAATGACTATCATCAACAAACCAACAAACAACAAGTGCTGGCAAGGAGAAAAGGAACCCTCATGCACTGCTGGTGGGAATGCAGATTGGTGCAGCCACTGTAGAAAACAGTATGGAGTTTCCTCAAAAAATTAAAAATGGAACTGCCATTTGACCCAGTAATCCCCCTTCTAGAAATACATCCCAAGAAAACAAATGCCAATTAGAAAGGACATATGCACCCCTATGTTCATAGCAGCACAATGTATAATAATTAAGATTTGGAAACAGCCTAAGTGCCAATCAGCAGATGAGTGGATTAGAAAACTGTGGTACATCCACATAAAGGAATACTATGCCACTGTAAAAAAGAAGGAACTCTTACCATTTGCAACAGCATGGATGTGGGCACGTGACTTGCAGTTCTTGCAGCCACCGATCTACAGAACCGTGACCCCCCAGTGGATCCCACATCTTGTCCCCGACGCTCAGTGCGTACTTGGTCCAGCATCCGGTTTCCATTCCCTGCCATGCCTCAGTCTGACCCCAGAGTAGTTGAAACTTTCATACTATTATTTTAGAACAACTCTCTACCAAAACAAAGCAGAAACTTGCCCAAGAAGCTTCAAAAAACAGCTTAAGAGCATGATCTTTTAAAAGCATCTCAATAGCTTCTGGGAACCCTGGTCATCTTTTTCTCCTGATTTAAAAAGAAATCCAATCCCTTGGTTTTGTTCTCAGCTATAATGTGACTTGTCCGGCCTGGGACAGCTGCCCAAGACCCATTAGATTAAGAACTGATGGCTGGAGCCCAGTGTGAAATGCTGTCTGTAAAGTGTTACCGCCTTCCCTCCCAAGGCGTGGGCAGGAGCAGGAGCGGGAGGGAAGGGCATTCTGAAGAGTCTGAGAGCTTTATTGTTCCCTTTAACTTTTCCTTTTAAGTCACAGTTTTCCCCCAAAGAAACATACCTTAGAAGCCCAGTTTAAAACACGGATAGAAGGGGAACCTCCAATGGAAGTGAAAGGGGTGGCTGGGAGATCTCCTTGGAAGCCCCTCCGAAGCCCTCTGCTCTGGGATGAAACCAACCACCATGTCCAACCTTCTTACTTCCCACGTGAGGAGCAGAGGGTGCAGGAGAAGGGGGCAGCCTGCGAGCAGGCAGGCCCTGCAGGAGGTCAGGTGCCTAAGGAAAAGGGCCGATCCTCCACGTTCCGAGGCAAGATTCAATTGAAGAAGCTCTCCAGGGGAAGCCACAGCTGCCAAGTGGAGCTCAAACAACAAGCGCAGAGGCTTGGGGAAGGCTCAGCTTCAAAGGCAGCTTACAGACAGGCAGAGAGAGAGAGAGAGAGAGGTCTGGGGGGACGCAATGGAGATGGGGGGAGAGAGCAGGAGAGAAGACGGATGACATGGCATCGGATGAAGCACATTCTCTTAATTCTTAGCAAACACCCTCCCCGTGCTCTGCGCACCCGCACCGGAAGGGAGAGTTGCCTGGGGGACGGGTGCAGTCCTGAGAAGCGGTGCTCCGGTGCTCCGTGGAGGCGGCAGGACATAAGGTCTTTTAACTGCATTAGGAAGATCACGAGGCATGGGCGGGAGAAGCAATCAGGAGGCAAATCTGACTTACTTTAATGATAATAGTAATAATAATAATAATAATAATAATAATAATAATAATAAATATTCTGAGTTATTTAAAAATAAAAATATGCTCCTAAATGTAGGGCCTGCCCTCTTTTGGCCAGTAGCAGTCAGGACCTTTTTGCAGGAAGTAGAGCCATTGGGTCATTTAAAGAAAACATCCCCTGTGTCTCAATCCCCATGGCTGCTGACACCCCCATCAATGCCACCCATCTTGTTCTCTGACGTTAGAGGGTGTGGTACTATTTTGAAGGTAAACAGTTACTTATCATCTCATAAAATAAAATAGGGAACTGTTACGACTTATTCACTTTAATGCACCTTTACCTGGTAGCCTGATCCTTAAACAGAAGTATGTCATATTTCTCCTGGGAGC